AGGATTTGGAGATTCAGATCCAAAGGACAGAATAAGCTTTTAATGTTTGATGTATCATGGTATTTTAATATTTTGTTGGAGGCCGCCCAGAGTGGCTGGGGAAGCCCAGCCAGATGGGTGGGGTATAAATAAATTATTATTATTATTATTATTATTATTATTATTATTATTATTATCTTGCCCTGGTGCTTGCCCTGGGAACGTTTGACCAGTGAAAGGATTCTTGACTATTCGCTGTGTTTTGAACTATTGTTGCTGTGTAGTATGGTTTTAGCTAGTTATATTTCACAATGTTTTTATTTTTTGTTTGTAACCTAAGAAACGTGCAACTTTTTGAGTGGCTTGTTCAATAAACTTGGAAAAGGACTTTTTGTCTTTTGTACTCTGTGCCTTTGCTCGGGGAAGCTAAACTGGTGCATTACCGTTTGGACACCTACCTGTTGAATTTCTGTCTGTGTCACAGTAAAGTGACTCAGGGCTGGGCAAACCAGGTAAATACTGAAGGGGGGTTCTCCTCCTTGAACCCTTTTCGAGGGTGGTCCAGGAAAGGAGGTGGTGGCAGCTTTACTGTTTGGCTTGCGATTTGCAACAACTAGCGATCTCTCCTTCCTGGCCAAGTCCTGCCGGTGTCTAGGAGGAATGGTCGGAGGGGGGGGTGGATAGTCCCGCTCACTACAGCCTGCTTGAGTAATATTGTGAAAGCTGTTTGTTGCTCACTATAAGAGCCCCCGAAACTGACTTGGGGCGCAGCCTTTGAGAAATATTCCTGCTGTAGCCCCTGCGCAGGTGAATAAATTTGACCTTCCTCAGAAAGAACCTTGTCTTTATTGACTGGGAATACCTGCAACACCTGCATTCCTTTACTATGCTGTAATATTGGTACTGTAGGCACTATTTGTAAACGTTGTTCTACTGGATATTGGGCATTGAAACATGCCACAGAGCACATGCAGAGTAGACCATACAGATGGAAACACTGAAGAGACGAAAAAATATCTTCGCATGGTTTAATAACAAAACTCCTCTAACATACATCTTACATAGTGTCTATAATCATCACCCATCCATCCACCAGGGCAGAGTAAGGTACATACTGGACATTATATATCATTCACAATTGCTGCCACAGCTAATTACAGTGACTTATAAGCACCTGCTACACAGCTGTAAAAACTAGATAAGGATATGCACCTAGCTTTTAAAGTGGTACACATCCTGTGAAACAATAATGAACCCTAACATTTTGAACAAACTATTCAGCACTGGAAAGAGGTTATCTAAATTTCATACACTTATGCTAGGCTACAAAAGGGATACGATGGATAGCTGCATCAAGAATCTTCCTTACCTCATCAGTGTGAACCAGGTAACAGTTCCTGTCCTATTTCAAGATGCTATGGGGTGGAGAGTAGGTAGGGAAACCTGCTTAAAATATAACTCCTGTGACAGGCTTCTTGTCCTCCCAGGTAAGAGTGCTGATGCTGGTTCACACTGATCAGAAATAGCCTCTGGACAGCAGGGGTAACAGATCAGGGCAGGTAAGGAGGGAGTCTTGAGGGTCCCTTTGTGAAGGAGAGAAAACTGAAGGGCTGAGCTGGTCTTACGGAGTGTGTTTCATTTAGGGCAGTGGCAAGGAGAAGATGGCAAGTGTGGCAGGAAGATTCAAGGACAATCAAAGAAACATTTAAACATTTCAGTTTAGTGTAGTATCATATAGTATAGGAAAAATATATTATTTGCAAAATATATAGATATCTTTTGAAAAGGATAGCAAGAGCATCAAGTGATACTGAGGACAATCCTAGTTCTGATCTAACTAGTTTGAACAAACAGTGTGCTGGAGAAGACTCGTTTAATTCGACATCAGTAGCAGACCCAAGCAAACCTCCAAAAATAAAGTTTGTCAACAATATGTGGATAGCTATAATACTAATACTAATACTAATACTAATAATTTATTTATACCCCACCCATCTGGCTGAGTTTCCCCAGCCATTCTGGGCGGCTCCCAATCGAGTTAAAAACAATACAGCATTAAACAATACAGCATGTCTTTTAAAAATAGGATAGCTGCTTATTTCCTTGACATCTGATGGGAGGACATTCCACAGGGCACCACTACCGAGAAGGCCCTCTCTCTGGTTCCCTGTAACCTCACTTCTTGCAATGAGGGAACTGCCAGAAGGCCCTCGGCACTGAGTCTCAGTTTCACATGGACTGGAGATGAAAACGTCCCTCAGTCTACGTGTTTGATCTGTGGTGAGACACTTTCCAATTGCAATATGGCCCCAAACAAGATGAAAAGGAGGAGTGCCAGAGAGTTGGTATTATGTATATGTAACAAACCTTAATCCCTTGCATGTATCCATAGTTAAGAATAGGTGCTTGCAGAGTGGATGGTAAGGCTGGTCATCTAACAACTGATTAAATGACAGCACAGCTGTAATGGCTTTTGTGAAAGCTGTTGGTTCATAATACTCTTGGCCAAATAATATGTTATTGGCAGAGACTATGCTGATATAGACAAAGTCCACTGCACATATTCCTGGCAGAGCATGTTATGTCCAGTGTACAGTGTCAGGAAATAAAACTGTGGTGTTCTTGGCAAATAGCCAGGTTTTTTTCTAATAACCTTGGGATAGTTAATTACTGTGAAGAGACTGTAAGTTATGTTTATTTATTGAAAATATTTCCTTCATTTAACATATTCTTAATCTTATTTAATTTATTCCCCGCCTCACCTCATAAATTTATCGTAAACAAGTTTAAAATAACAGGTGAAACTTTTAAATGGATACTTGGGCACCATCAATTGACATAGCATTGCCACACACAGTGGTTTCCCAGCCTCTCCAAAGTCTTCAGACATGCCTGTGTTGTAGCCAACCAGTAGCATGAGTGGTGACTATGAATGGGTGTGAATGAAATTAATGGATTTGTTTATGTGTATGCAGAACAAAATAAAAGTTACATATATGGTGGATACCAGAAAAGCTGTGTCAGTCTCTTCTTGGTTATCAGAATGTCTCAGATTGTTGTAAGATCCATCAAATTTCTGATGTTGGTCATTGTTATACTCTTCATTCTCTTCCATTCCTCAGCTGCCTCATGAGAGATAAAGGATGTATAACCCTCAAATATTCCATAGTACCTTCATACATCACAGTACCTTCATACAACAAAAGTATTTTTCTCAAGCCTCTGCCATTGTTTAAAGCCACCCTTTTCCTGTTAGTTCTCTCCATGCTTGCTTTACTCAAACCTTTGCCATAATTTTAAACCACCATCTTCCCCCTCTCAGTGTCTCTCCCTTCTCGCTCCAATGCCATGGCCACTGTTGTTGTGCAAACTGTCTTCACTTTTGTCCCCCTATTCTGCCCTGTGTTTATTGTTGTTTAGTTGTTTAGTCGTGTCCGACTCTTCGTGACCCCATGGACCAGAGCACGCCAGGCACTGCCTCCCACAGTTTGGTCAAACTCATGTTAGTAGCTTCAAAAACACTGTCCAACCATCTCATCCTCTGTCGTCCCCTTCTCCTTGTGCCCTCAATCTTTCCCAACATCAGGGTCTTTTCCAGGGAGTCTTCTCTTCTCATGAGGTGGCCAAAGTATTGGAGCCTCAGCTTCACGATCTGTCCTTCCAGTGAGCACTCAGGGCTGATTTCCTTAAGAATGGGTAGGTTTGATCTTCTTGTAGTTCATGGGACTCTCAAGAGTCTCCTCCAGCACCATAATTCAAAAGCATAAATTCTTCGGTTGTAGCCTTTTTCCCTTCTGAGTGTTGCCCCAGGGTGGGAAGACAGAGGAGTCAATGGACACCAGGGTGTGGTTCACGGAGGAAGAGTTTATTCAGTTCTGCGCAGAGGCGGCCAGCGGAATCGCTTCCAAAGGCTGGCCGGCCTTACAGCATGTTGGCAAGCAATTTTTATACCCTCCCCATCACCCCATACATCGTCATCCCTTTCCTTATCCAACCATACCACACAATTCAATTCATTCTCTTATCTGGCTCGTGCAGTGCCCTGTTAGCCCTTCTTCATTGGTCCCTGACACCACCCTCTCTGAACATGTGCTCTGTCCCTGCTTGCATAGCTTCCTTTAATGTAAATTGTTTACTGCGGCCATGCCCTCACATACCTCACCCTGCGTCATTTCCCCTCTCTCTCTCTCTGCACGTCCCAGGGCGTGCCCTCAACCTCCCTTTCACATTCTTGTGCCCTTCATGGTGATCAGCCTTCTTTATGGTCCAGCTCTCACTTTCCTGTGTTTATATAAACCCACATTTGTGATGTGGCACTACATATATTCCAGTGGGGGCCAAGTAATGACCTCCTTATATTTTTATTATATATTGAGAAAGTCCTACAGAGGGTGGTGAATGGTCCTACAAACACACCCTTTCCTGACATACCAGCTCTTGGAAGCATATGGAGACATAAGAGGCCACACCTGCTGAAATTCCTTCTGCTACAAGCTATTAAGGATTCCCTTCCTCTTTTCAATCTTGCTTAACTGATTACACTTCAAGACATTCAATTGTGAGCCTGATTATTTGCAACTGCCTTTTTGCCAAGTAACAATACTATTGCATTTAATATTGTTGTTTTTAAAGATCTTATGATTTATGTAGAAACGATTCAAATTTGGTTGCACTTCTTGATGTGTTTTATTTATTGTTTATGGTTGCATTGCAGGGGGTTAAACTACATGGTCCTTGGGCTCCATTCCAACTCTACAATTCTCTAATTGCACGCAAATTGTTTCCGTGTTGTAAGCCGCCTTGCGCATGGTTTTAACTATGCAACGGACAGCATACGAATAAAATTAAAAGTGAAACGAAATGAGACGAGATGATGAAGAAGAAGTAGATATTATAGGATTATTTCGGCTTATTTTGACGTTGCTTCAGCTCCACTGGGCTTGAGGGCGGGAGACTGAGCTAAACCCCCGTTTAGAACCTACGACGACCCCTTCCCCTTCGACGCCAAACTACCTCCGAAGGCCTCAGTACCGCACGCCGAAGACTACGTTTCCCAAAGTGCTCCGCTCTCAGCTTAGGGTCGCTCTGCCAATTCCGAACTCCCCTTTCGCTCATTCGAGTTCCGTCGCAGGGGAAAGGGCTGAGGCATAGAGGGCGCTGCGTCTGCGAATTGCGAGGAATTGAAGGACGGTCCCTGACGCCGCACATCCCCCGGCCTGAGGAAGAGCGAGAGCGAGCTGCCGGGGCCTAGCGATGAGTTACCTCAGCGAAAGCGGCGGGGCCGTTAGGTCCCTCCTCGACTTGTGAGTGGCCGGCGGGGCGAGCGGGGTCTTCACTCGTGCGTCCCCCCACCCACCATGAACCTCTCCCGGCACCAGGAAAACCACCTTATTTCACCTCCATCTCCAACGTTACCCTTATTATGTCCTCCCCGCCTCTTCGCTAACCTCTTTGCTGCCCTTTGTCCGGATTCTGCCCCTGGGATGTGCCAACAAATCAACGAGGAGACGCGTGCCCCTGAGCGTGTGCAGAGAGCAGTTTTAAATAGCTGCGCGGAAGAGGCCGTTTCAGCAGGTGCGGCTTGGTCGACAAGCAAGCCTGCTGAAATCCCACCTTGCCTTGAGTAGTGGTTAGAGCCCTTGGGCTAGGGAGCAGCCCGATACAAATTCCATGAAGAGGGAGGGAGAGCCATGTACGGCACCTTGGAGGAAAGGTGGGATAGAAAAATATAATAAATAAACAAACCTGGCTGTTCTTCTATTGAGAAGTGTGACCAACTTCACCCTGGGACCATTATAAGGTAAAGGTACCCCTGCCCATACGGGCCAGTCTTGACAGACTCTGGGGTTGTGCGCCCATCTCACTCAAGAGGCCGGGGGCCAGCGCTGTCCGGAGACACTTCCAGGTCACGTGGCCAGTGTGACAAAGCTGCATCTGGCGAGCCAGCGCAGCACACGGAAACGCCGTTTACCTTCCCGCCAGTAAGCGGTCCCTATTTATCTACTTGCACCCGAGGGTGCTTTCGAACTGCTAGGTTGGCAGGCGCTGGGACCGAGCAACGGGAGCGCACCCCACTGCGGGGATTCGAACCGCCGACCTTTCGATCGGCAAGCCCTAGGCGCTGAGGCTTTTACCCACAGCGCCACCCGCGTCCCTTGGGACCATTATAGCTGTGCTTTTAATAATAAAGGTAAAGGTACCCCTGCCCGTACGGGCCAGTCTTCCCAGACTCTAGGGTTGTGCGCTCATCTCACTCTATAGGCCGGGAGCCAGCGCTGTCCGCAGACACTTCCGGGTCACGTGGCCAGCGTGACAAGCTGCATCTGGCGAGCCAGCGCAGCACCCGGAACGCTGTTTACCTTCCCGCTGGTAAGCGGTCCCAATTTATCTACTTGCACCCAAAGGTGCTTTCGAACTGCTAGGTTGGCAGGCGCTGGGACCGAATGACGGGAGCGCACCCCGCCACGGGGATTCGAACCGCCGACCATGCGATCAGCAAGGCCTAGGCGCTGAGGCTTTAACCCACAGCGCCACCCGCGTCCCTGTGCTTTTAATAATACTGTAATATAATAATAATATCATTGAGCTGCAAGACTTTCTCGGGTGACCCTGCATTTATCTCATACCTGGAAAAACTTCACCTGTTGGTTTTCCAGCTGTTAGAGATACAAACACACACACACACACACACACACACACACACAAAACCCCAAAAAAACCTGGTTCCTAAGACTTAGGTCTCAAAATCCTTTAAATAATAAGATCTGGACAAAAATTGGTGAAGTAGTAGAATTTTATTGAAGGAAAAGCATGGTTGAACAAGGATGGGTGACCAATGCAGGCACACCCTAATGAGGAAAAACACAGTTTATATAATCTGCCCCCCCAACCGCCAAAAAGTCCCTCCTTTACATGCCCACCATGGAGGAGCATGCAAAGTTTACAACATATCGCATCCGCCTTAACATTTTACCATCCCACTTCCCCATGTTAATCATTGCACAAATATTGTCAAAGCATCTTTACATTTTATATTTTGATGCAAGCAACCCCTTTATTCTTATCTCAAATTGTCCTATTTTGATGTGTTAACCACTATTTGTTCCATATGCAGGCGTAAGCTAGTTTGTTATCTGATAAGGCTAAGAGGACAAACCCCAAGTTGACCACCAAATATCCTAGCTACAGGTGCAAGCTGCTCTTGAGTCTAGGTTCTTAACAGTGAGCTGCATGACTTTTGCTAAATCTGCATTCCTTATTCGGTGGAATCCCTTGTGGTTACCCTATCAGCTATAAACTATCAAATTCTATGCTCACTATTATCTTAGCAGGCAGCTGCTCTTTAGACCTTTAGACTTTTATGAAAAAGCAAAAATATAGCAGCATTAAAAATTGAGAAGTAATGGAAAGGCAAAGAGTTGCTTAGAAACATCCTATTCAAAAAATGGCCAAGCTATATATTGTGGTAGGTGTGTCTTAATAGGATCCACTAATAAAAGCATTCTTATAATAAGAAGCATTAATAAAAGCATCCTTATCCTAGGGAAACAATGAAAAAGCAACGTATTTCCCACACCAGCCTCATGTGTCTGTTGACAGCACAAGCAGTTTAACAGAAGCTTAAGAAGTCTGTATGGGGAATAAATTGGGCATAAGTTCTTAAACTGAAACTGTTCTTAACCTGAAGCACCACTTTAGCTAATGCGGGCCTCCCGCTGCCACTGCACTGCCACCACATGATTTCTGTTCTCATCCTGAAGCAAAGTTCTTAACCCGAGGTACTATTTCTGGGTTAGCGGAGTCTGTAACCTGAAGCATCTGTAACCCGAGGTACCACTGTACGTGATAAAAATTGTGCTGGAAGCAGTTTTGACCTCCCATGTTACTTGTATTCTGAACAATTAAATTTACAGTTGCTTACATAAAAATATTCTGTAATGGATCTGAATAGTGATCCAGCTCTGCAGACAACAGTGGACAGAGAGATGCCTCTAAGAAACTCACAGGCAGAGCAAATTGGAAATAGCCATCACAGTTTCTAAATAGGAGATTTCTTTCAACTGGCTACTAGCTATTGGGAGACATTTCTATAAATTTGTCTGATCTCAGGAATCCTTGACACACTGAGTAGCCCCTGAATTCATTTTCATTGTTTGTCTGCTTATGTGCTCTTCAAATGTTTTTTCCAGGACGGTTTTCATAATGTTAAAAACACAAAATTTATAAAAAATACGAAGTACAATAATCAAATAATCAAATCCTACAACATACTTATTTTATTTACAGTATATAGAGATTTCCAAACACTTTTCAAGTGCCTATATAGCATTACTGAGAGTGACTTCCAGCAGAACCTGGGCACAGAGCAGAGGATTCTGGGGGCATGCTGAAGGGTACCCATTCGTTCATCCAGGGCACTGGGACTCTATAGCACACCCAATACTGATGTGGAAATCGAACTACAGGACAACTTTTGTTTCATGCCTAATGCTCCTCTTCATTCCAAGTGGCTGAAAGAGGTCTTAGCATACGTTTACCAGAGTGTCCTCTGAATATGATACAAAGTGCATAGTAGTTATACAGTAAATGTCATGCACAGTACAGAGATTCACTTCTTCAAATACAGTGGAATATTACCAAGAGTTCAAAGCAGTATTTTAACATGTTGCATAAATAGTTGTTTGCCCTAAGATTTATTTTACATAGCAATAATTTTGCTTATTGGCAGTCTGCAGTGTTACAACATTTTTGTGCGACTTTGTTCTTGTGACTAAAGCAGTAATGTGAATCAGCAATGTCACCCTCACCCTTATTCCATGTCACCTTCACTCTTATTGTTGATCAGAGCAAAGTTCATTATCCTTAATCCTGAAGTCATAATTTATTGATTTCTCTAACTCTGGCTGCACGTTGCAGGGGAATTTAGTCACATTGAGCAAACTGCCTTTCAGCCAATGATCCTTTTCACTCAGAAGCCCTTGGTGAGCATCTGAGGAACCTCAAAGTTCCCAAAGTGCAGTTTAAAACTAAATGTCTCAATAATAATTAAGCTTAATGTGGGGAACCTTAGAACCTTTGATCTTCCAGATGTTGCTTAAGTTCAACTACCATCAGCCCTGGCCATGGGCCATGCTTCCTGTAGCTGATGGGAGCTGTAGTTCAGCAGCAAAGGTTCTGCACGCTTGCTCCAAGCCATTCAGAACTGAATATACATATATTTGTGATTAGAACTCATTTAAAGTTGTGTTAAATGTTTTTTGATATGAGTAAACTTTGTGAATATCTTTTCCACTTGTTTGTGTATGTCAGGTGGACTTCAACATGTTGGACTCCCACCAGTCCCAACCATCACAGTCATAAGACAGGAGTGATGGGAATACAATACCTGGAAGGACATAGGTCCCCTGCCTCTGGTGTACATCTTTTTTTTCCTCCTCATTACCTAATTTTGCACTAGGTGCTGGATAGCCCCGCCCCCCCAAGAGAAGTCCCTGTTGTTACAGTCTAAGAAATCGTGCTTACATAATTGTTTCCCAAGTTGCCAAGAAAGTGTCATCTTATTGTGGCATCTGAATATAGACTGCATTTTTAATCAAGACTTATATTGGCTTATATCTTGATCAGGTTCCTAAATTAAATGGGCTTAGATTTTCAAATGTTTCATGCCAGCTGCTTAGAGAACCTTGGCAATGTTTTCCTCCTAGACAAGGGGCCCCTTGATTTATAGCAGAAAACAATTCTCAAAGTCGTAAAAAGGGGGAATTACAGGCTGAGAGTGAGGACACTGACCCTACATGTTACAGAAGATAAAAAAGGCAGAGATAAACATAATTAGGAATGAGTAAATAGTAAAATAATACCAATGTGCCTCCCAGTAAAATGAGCCAGATCTTCTTTCCAAAGGTTAAAAGGCCAAGAGCAATGGAGAAGCATCTAGCTGGCAGAAAGAGAGCATTTTTGGGAAGTCTTTTTTAAAAGCTGTTTCTTTCTTAAACTGAGAGAGTTGGAGGGCAATAAATGTTGGGAAGAGCTAATGGGAAAAGCAGCTGGCTGAGGGGGGGTGTAAACTGAAGAGGCTTCTTTTGAAGCTGTTTTTTACTGAGTTCCTTTTTCTACTTTACAAAGGCCTTATTCCTTTTAAGAGGCTACCTGTGTTGTGTATTAAGTGTATTGGCATAGATGTAATTATGCAAAGGATTTAAGAAATGCTAGATTCTTATTTCATATAGTTGTAAGAGTTGTATTTATCCTGAAATTAAGTCAGCCACCAGCCTAGCCCCCCTGCCAGACAGGAGACGCCATCCAAGCAGTCCTGATATATAGTTGTCAGGCATTTGTTTAGAAACCTTCAAATGAAGGAGATCTTTCAATGTTGATGTGAAACTCAAGATCCTTGACATATGTTTAAGATAAAAATTTAAGATTAACCATTTGTTTTAGAAGGCAATAGGGCAAGGAGGGCAAGAGGTGAGCTGGTAATTAAGATTCCTTGTTGAGACACATGTAAGATATATTACTACTTATTTGTCATTTATAGATGTAACAATATATAGCTCTTTGTGTTCCATATAAGGACAGGAGGATATGGGTGTATCTTTTTGTGATTGGTTATACCAATCAGCCAATAGGAAATTCAACCAGGCTGATTGGACAGAGGCAGCCAAAGGAGGAGCAAAGGGGGCTGGATTAAGGGAATATAAGTGCTGGCCATAATGGCAGGAGGCCAGGCCAGAGCTTGGTAACCATATACCACTGTGCCTCTCATTTATTTGTCTGACAAATAAATTATTATTTTAATTTCTCTATTGCTGCGTTGAATATTTCATTCCAGCTAAGCGTTAACCACAAGCAGGGTGCTACATTTTGACTACTTTTTGTTCTTTCCCCTCCTCCCCTCCAGAAGCCTTCATTGCTTAACAAGGAACATATCCAGATATGCGGAAGATATTAAGCCTTTGCCTCCCAACATCAAAGATAAACTGATCAAATCATTGAGTGTCCAAGGGTGGATAAGTGATTCAAATATTAATACGGTAAGGTGGCACTTTGAGCACAACTCTCCACCTTGTCATCATTGGGACTTACAAACAATACATATTTATATTTGCATTTATTCCTGCTGTCTTTTCCATAGTCAAAGCCAAGGCTGTGTATTTGATAGAGCGTTGTTCTAGGACCTGGGAAACCAGGGTTCTAATCCAGACTCAGCCATGTAGTTCATTAGTGAAAGTGTCCTTTATGAGATGACCTCCAGGAAAGTGTTGGGCTGGATGCAATTCAATGCCATATTTCCTGGCTGTGTGATTTGTGGTGGGGCATTATTTTGGAGTGTAGTGCCCCGGTTCATTATTCATTTCTGCATATTTTAACAATATGACAGTGTATTGTGCCCCAATAAAGTGGTGGAGTTGATGTGATTTAATGTCAGTTCCCAGAGGATGCCTGTCTTGGGTGTATGGGTCTGTGATTTGTGATGTCCCAAAGCTTATTGATCGTACACCCCTAGTTCTTCATTTGCTGTTGTCATTTGAGGTCACCATGTTCTCATGAGTATTGAACAAACACAAATAATTTGATTGCAGAAAAGTAGTGTGCATCTTGAAAGGGACATTCTTCAGGTCATTGGGATAATATGGGGCATTCTAAAATTTACTTTGGAGTTCAGTGACATGTCAAGTTTTGTTTTGTTTTTTAGTTTTCTGATTGAGCTATATTTCAAATTCCTACACAGATAAGGAGCTAGGAACAAGTAACAAACTTAAGCATCAGAAGAGTTAATTATTATTTCTCTTTCAACAAAACTTGCATTTTTTCTTTAAAAAACAAAACAAAAAACTTGCATTTTCTCATTTGCATTTACCCACACCTGCACCATTCTGCCATTTAGGCTAGTTCCTCTTCTCTTTGGTGCTGAATTTGATTATCTCATATTACCTTGAAGAATGTTCAGATATAGTATATGAAGGAATCTGGATTTGATAGGGACAATCTATCATGAAGTAGAGTTGCATCTAGCAACATTTGCCATCAGCGTAGTATACTCCTCTTCTAAATTGTTACATTAGCCTCAAATGGGAACCATGGCTGAAACCTTTGCCTGAGTTTAAAGTTCTGTTCCAAACATGACTCATCTTCCATATACAGGCCAGTTTCTAATGGCAAAGCTATTAAAATCCGTAAGCTTAAATAAACTGGCAAAATGATCAACCGCTTGCCTAAGGAAAGGGCACAGTAATTTTATTATCCATAGAAGAATTCTATTTGCTGACCCCTTGACAAGCTTGGGATACCTGCTAGATCTTCCAGGAGGGAATAAATTAGATGTAATACTGATCTGTTGCTGACAAGGCATATCTGCTATTGTTTTAAATAAATTTGAGGTGATAGAGCAAAAGTTAAAGCTGTGGTAACAAACATGCATTTTGCAGATAGTACTTCAGGGTCTTTTGTGAGTAAGGACAGAAAAGCTCATTAAAATCTTAATGAATATTAAATGAATTTATTATTTATTGGTAGAGTCCCAAGGGCCATGTCAGGGGACTGCCATCGGGGCTGGGGAGGGAAGCAGGGGGATACAGAGAGCCTCCGAGGCTTCTGAGGAGCAGCCCCTCATCCAGCGGTGGGGAAAGCCACACCTCCAGTGGAGCGGAGGGGGAAGGGGATAGCCAGGCGAGGGGAGGGCTCAAAGATGCTACTGGCTGGCCAGAAGACAGACATGCCATTACTGTCACCCAGCTTACGCAGAAGGGTGAAACGTAAGGAGGGGAGGCAGAGATTTGGGGTGTCTAAGTTCTTATGTTGGGGAGAAACCAGAAGGGGCCACTCCTGAACCTGCAAGCGACTAGGACGGACATGAACTTTGTGTTTCTGCACTGTATATAGTTTACACCAATAAAACCTGTAAAAGACAGGTCAGAGTCCTGCCTGGTTACCAGCCCCTGACAGGCCAGATAAAGAGGAATGGAAGGTTACATTTGGCCCTCAGGCCTAAGGTTCCCCATTCCTATGCCGCGCCACGTAGAGCTTGACAGAAATATTTTCATTTTAGGTTTTGCACCCTGCAGTAGAGGCACTCGACCTTCGGGACTGTGATGTTTCAGATAATGCCTTGCAACAGCTTTGTAACTGCAAACAACTTAAGAAAATTAACTTGAACATTTGGAAAGGCAACAGACTAACAGTCACTTCGGAAGGTTTGTTTTCTATGTGATATTTATTTCAAAGGACAGTGAAGAAATTAAGCTTCATTCAGGCTTTCTTCTTCTTCCCCAAGTAGGATTCTCATTATCATTTTTAGTAAATAAATACCCAGAGGATTGGATTTCCTTCCAAAATGCTGCTCTGAAGGCTACACATTCTCTTTCTTTGTAGTTTGGAGCTTTTTCATGACTCAGGAAGCTGCCTTATGCTAAGTCAGAGCATTGATCCATCTAGCCCAGAGCACCATCTGCTCTTACCGGCTCCAGCTAACCACGTCATTGCAGCAAATAGCAACCCTGCTTTGTGAGGAGCTTTTAACTAAAGATGCGCGAGACTTAACATAAGAAGAGTCTTGCTGCTTCAGGCCAAGGGCGCATCTTGCCTAGCATCTTGTTCTCACAGGGGCCAGCCAGGTGCTTATGTGAAGCCCACAAGTAGATGGTTTTGGGCTAGAACATTAGGCAGTTAGAAAGGAAGGTTCAAAAGAAGTCAGAGCTATGCAACAAGCTGCCTTCCGGAGCTGAAGGGCTTTCTTTTGCTGGAGGTATTTAAGCAGAAGCTGAATGTCCATTTCCCAGGGGTGTTGCAGTTGCATCCTCCATTGTGGATCCTGCACTGAGCAAGGGGTTGGATTAGATTGCCTTCAAGGTATCTTACAAGGTTGCAGGGTGTGCTGTAAAGCAAGGGTGAGAAACATCTGGCTCTCCAGATATTTTTGGACTGCAAACCCCACCATCCCCGACAATTGTCTAGGATAACAGGGGCTGTTGGGAATTGGAGTCTAATAAACATCTGAAAGGCTACAAGTTCCCCACCCTGGCCTAAAGGCACATGATACATCAACCTTGCTGAAGTCCAAGTCTGGGAGACCATCTCAGAATCCTTTGTGTATCACTTTGAGCTCTACTACAGGAGAAAGGTGGGATATGAATGTAAATAAAGCAAATGAATGTCATTTTAGGTACCAGTTATACAAATAGAAAAGGAAGGATTAGATGAGAACAAGCTAACACTTATGCCCATTCACATCAATGGTCCTAAGGACACTTAACTCTACAGTGATACCTCGGTTTACGAACAACCCTGTTAACAAACTATTTGGTTTACCAACTCCGCAAAACCGGAAATAGTGTTCCGGTTTGCAAACTTTACCTCGGTCTACAAACGGAAGCCGAACGGTGGAAGGGCACTGGCAGCAGGCGGCCTCATTAGGGAAAGCGCACCTCGGTTTAAGAACGGATTTGGTTTAAGAACGGACTTCAGGAACGGATTAAGTTCATAAACCAAGGTACCACTGTATACTGAATTGCAACCATTATTAGTAGAGCACAATGAATATACTAATCTGATGCCCAAAGTGGCCAGCATTCTAAAGTTATAAGCAGAATTGATATTTGAGGTTAGTATCCCTCAGGTTTGACTTTAATTTGTAATATTAATGCCCAAAGTGTTTTGATATGTTGCTCTTAAAGTAATAATTTCTTCTAATATGCTCTTCTATTCGAACTTCTGGAGATGAACGTGAGAATGATGTGCTTTGTTTATCCAACAGGGGTTGCAGCACTGGCCTTGTCATGCCCTTATTTACGTGAAGTCTCTTTTAAAAGATGTAGCAACATTACAGATAGTGGAGTCCTTGCCCTTGCCCTCCACTGCCCACTTTTGCAAATAGTTAACATAGGTGGATGTTCCAGCATTACAGATACATCACTGCAAGCTCTTGGACAGAACTGCCAATCTTTACATAGTGTGGATTTTTCATCTACCCAAGTAAGATTGTTGGCAAATATATATCTTGTTGGCATAGATATCTTGCAAAATGGCATGGTTAAAATGATACTCTTGAGAACTGACTCTTACTTCACTAAATTGCTATTGGTATTTTGAGATACTGTCTTGATAAAAGTGCATTTGGCCTCTTTTGCTTTCACAGTTACCGTATTTTTCACTCTGTAAGACGCACCAGACCATAAGACGCACCTAGTTTTTGGAGGAGGAAAACAAGAAAAAAAATATTCTGAATCTCAGAAGCCAGAACAGCAAGAGGGATCGGTGTGCAGTGAAAGCAGCAATCCCTCTTGCTGTTTTGGCTTCTGGGATAGCTGCGCAGCCTGCGTTCGCTCCATAAGACGCACACACATTTCCCCTTACTTTTTAGGAGGGAAAAAGTACGTCTTATAGAGCAAAAAATACGGTACCTTAATTTTGCTTAGTGTGGTTGCATTAGATAAAATGAGTGTTTTGAGCCTACCACAGGAAATGTGGACTCTTATCTATAAATTGCAGTGAAGTTTGTTGCGAAAATAGTCATCTGGCTTGTAAATCTAGTGTTTCCCATTTCCCTTCCCTTCCCACCCATTTTACACTTGTAGCTTACATTATCAGAGTGCAGTATTAAAATAAATTCAGCAGAGTAAATAATATTTGATTGATATAAAAGTGGAAAACTGATTTGAATAGTTATAGTAAAATTATGCAGGAAAATGTAATATGAAATATGAACCATTGAAGGAGAAGAAGGGAAGACAGTGAGAGCCAACTATTGACGACTGTGGAGAAGAGCCAGAGGACGATGGGTTTACCTGGTGCCTAGATGTTCCTGGAACCTGGTCGTCCATGGTGGTTCTGGTCTGCTCCCTGGTTTTTGGAGGACGAATGCCCAAGAGGTCCTTACCTACGGCCTTCTTAGGGCAGGCAGCGCCTCCTTTCAGGCTCCTGTCTGGGCATCCAACCACGCAACAGTTGGTAGGCGCATGGTCTGTCTGCTAGTATGGGGACAGGGAGGCCTGGCAAGACCAGGTTTCTGCCTGTTTTGGAGGGCTGGTAAGACAAAAATTCTGCAGTATCACGTCGGAAGAGTTTGGGCTTGTTGTGATTATTTGTAGCAGAAACACTACTGCTGAGGCTGCCAGAGGTTCAGGGCTGCTGCATGCACAGCTAATGCAGAGTTAACAGAAGATAATGGGGTTGAGTAGTGCTACTGAATAGTAATGTAAGAATAAGAATAATAAGAGTAATGTATAGATACAAAATTAAAATAAAAAAGGAAGTGAAAGGAAAGGAAATGAAAAGATAAGGTGAAAGAGGAAACTAGAAGAGGAACTGCAGATAAGTCAGACTAGGGGTAACCCTGCCAAAGCTAGTGAGAATTGACCAATAAACCAGTTGCTGTGTGGCTGCACTAAGCAAGGTTAATATTTAACAATATGTGATTCTGTGAATGAAAAGAAAGCACCCAGGATTTATAAGTTGATATATTGGAAGCAATCACACAATATACAATCTGCAGGTTTGAGGCTCAGTTAACTAATTCTATCAGGAGGGGGAGCAATTCATTTATTCAGATGGGGGGAGCGATTCATTGGAGGGAGTAATCAATGCGGCAAAGGCATGGCATAATTAAAATCCAGAAACGTAATTAAATATAGGTGCAATCAGTGATGCAAGTGCATTAATATAAAGCATAATCAGAGGGAGCAATTCATCACATAACATTAGTGCAGAAAACCAATTAAATAGCTGGCGTCCTTCACGCCATGCTTGGAGGTCTCTTCCATATTGATCCTCTCCATTTTCTGATCAGAACCACTCTTCCTGTTCCTCTCTTTGCTTGTTTGCTTCTTCTCTTTTGACTCTTGCTGCTCTTCAACATATATATTCCCCAGAATTTGGTGCAAAAGTTATTTTTCCAGCTAATTACAGATCAGGGATGCGACTTTTCCAAGGAAGCTCCCTTTTGCTTGGAACTGTCTGCTATTCTTGAATCTTTGTGGGTCCCCAGTTTGAAATGTAATAAATGGGTGTCTAATGGCAGAAAGGTTAAAAGCAGTTATAAACATAGCAAACCTTCATACAGAGTATCACAGCTTTTGGCTAAATTTAAAAGGGGTTCCTAGACTGGAGTATCCCTTCCAGAAACTCAGAAGAAATGGATGCAGGCTTTAAGTGAAAAGATAGAAAGACTGAAATACAAATGCACATAGGCACAGCCTAAAAAATGAGGAGGCTTCCAAGAACCCCATAACAATGTCGGAACGCCGCTCGGCCAAGCTGATAAGGCCTCATCTTCCTCCGAGCCGAGCCTTTGAAATCGCCTCCGACGTGTTTGATGACCTGAGCCTTTGATAAGGCCTCAAGCACATTCTATCCAGCAGGGTTCCCAGCACAGGGAAGAGACGAGAGGTTTGGCTACATTGTAAAGAGTTTTATTTCTAAACTACGCAGAACAGAAAAGACATCTTCTCTCTATGCAAGCAGAGAGCAACTGAACAAAGAAACAAAGGAAACAGGAAACCACTAACGTCACAACACGTCTCCCTTTCCCATGAGACTGCAAGGTCTCTGGAATGTAAACAGAGTCCTGTGACTCCACGCAGCTGCACAGTGATAACAGAAGCTAACAGCAAAGCCATGTTTCTTATACACTTTCAGATTACACAAATGATTTCTGAGTAGCCAATCAAATGATTACAACAACTTCCCCATAGGAATTACAGCCTATGATCATCATTCTAAATCAAATAGAAACCCTTATACAGTACTCTTTTTACTAGCCCACTCCAGCCTTCTCATTATAATAATATGTGATCATACATTGTCATCCTTCAAGGTCTACTTTAATTAATATCTAATTAATTAATTCTTCACATGTCTACAAACATCTATCCTTAATCACCCATGATTAATATATTCATTCTCTACATTAACATAAATTCAGTGATACTGTTCCGCCTGGCTGATCTCCTTTCATGTATTCTCAACTTTTAATTCTTTCACATTAGAATACAGGATGTACGTGAAGCAATCTGGTTTTTTCCTTAGATTGGTGAGAGTTCATACATGGATTGCTAAGCAGCACTGCTAATATAAAATACTGAGTTTTAACAAACAAAAGAGTGCCCTAACAGAGAGATAAATGGAGATAGGAAATTCTTCATCTGCTTTGCATGCAGAAGGTCCCAGGTTCAACCCCTGGCCTCTCCAGGTAGGCCTGAGAGAGACTTTTGTTGCAACGGTTTTTAATAAAGGTACCGGTGACTAACTCAAATAGAGTCCAAGAATTGACAGACTCAGCAACTGGAGAAAAAGAAGGTGAGGTTTACTGCTGAGCAATAATTGACCCAGTGGAATCCTTTCCAAAGACCGGGCCCCAAGCTCTGTCGGCCTGGGGCTTTATACCTGAGTACATACATCACAGACCATGACATAATCGAATATAATTGCGAACGAAAGCAAAATAAGCTAATGAGCGCATTCAAGCCTTGCTCCTGACCATACAAAGAGTTCTCCCAACTTCTGTTTTTTTTAGTTTGAACATGCAGTCTTGAGGCAGACTTGACCTTTCTCCTAGATTTATTGCAAGAATAGAAACTTAAGGCAAGGAGGAACTTTAACTGTTACTCCCAGGCGACCATCTGTTCATAAAGGACATTTGCGGTTAGCACCTTCCTGTTTCACTGCATAGACTTTGTCTGGACAAGGGGGGGGGGGAGATGTACTAGCACATCTGATTTATCGCTTCACCTCTTGTAGAGAGAACAAGAAGGTACTAGGACAAAGTTCATTTAAACTTTGCAGATTTAAGCAATTTGCTGTTAAGCTAAGCAGAAGCTTTCACGATTCAAACATGGATTATAAAATCATTGTAAAAATCTCTGGTTATATGTGAATATATGTGAATATATTTGATAACTGATTATATGGATAACTGATTATATGAAAAGCATAAGGGTAGAATTCCTCCAGGTCCTGCTTCACTGCCTGAAACCCTGGAGATCCATGGAGATCTCCTACAGTTGTAGGAGAGCCAGTCAGGAGAGAGAATACTGAGCTAGATGGACCAATGGTCTGAGCTGGTATTGAGGCATCTGATCAAGGCCTGTATTTAAAAATGAGCTTAAAGATATATTTGCAAATGTTTGTATGTTTCATGCCAGGCAGAAACCAGCTGGCTAAGTACTCTGGCAGTTGGTTATCTTCCTCCCATCAGACTGAGCCATATTTTCCTAAGGTTAAAGGGCAAGAGCTAATGGGAAAAGCAGCTGGCTGAGAACCATGAGCCATCTGTTTTAGCCATTTGTTTTGGAGTGTAGGGGCAAAAGGGCAAAAGGTGATCTGATATATGGCTACTTGTCTGCCATTTATGGATAGAAGGAAATATAGCTCTTTGTCTCCCATAAAAGGTAATAGGAAGTGGGTGTATCTTTTATGATTGGTTCTAGCAAACAGCCAATAGGAATTTCAACCAGGCTGATTGGACAGAGGCAGCCAAAGGAGGAGCAAGGTGGCTGGGCTGAGGAAATATAAGTGCTGGCCATCAGGGCTGGAGTGGGCAGAGCTTTTGGTAACCATATACCACTGTGCCTATCATTTATTTGTCTGACAAATAAATCATTATTTTAATTTCTCTATTGCTGCGTTGAATATTTCATTCCAGCTAAGCGTTAACCACAAGCAGGGTGCTACAGTATAAGGAAGCTTCCTCTGTTTCTGTTGCTAAGCCATGCTTTGGCTTAGTGTGATGTTTGTACTAAGTCAGAGAAAGGCCTGAAAAGTGGCATTATTGCACATATATATAATTTTTCTGTCATTTAAAGAGAATATATTAATTTGGCTTCCATTTGTGTAAAATTCAAGTTTATAAGACATGCAAATTGAAGAAAACCAGACTGAAGTTGTTATGGTTTTTTTGTTTTTTTTTTACAGGATTGCTTTAATGTTTTGGTTTATTGAAGTGGACAGTTACTATAGTTTTATTCAGTGTACCAACAAAAATTCTGATTTTGTCCCATCCAGGTTACTGATGACGGTGTAATAGCACTTGTTAGTGGAATGTGTTCAAAGAATTTAAAGGTAACTTTTCAACATGTTTAGTAGAAATCATTATTATTAGTAAATAGTATATTTATATTTCTTAATAGAATTAAGGGATTAAATCAGTGGCTATTAGTCAAAGACGACTAGATGCCCTGCTTGTGGGTTTCCAATAGACATCTGACTGGCCACTGTAGAAACAGAATGCTGCTGGACAAGATGGGACTTTGGTCTGATCCAGCAGGGTGGCTCTTATTCTCACATGGGTTTTTTCCATTATTGCAGGGGTCAGCAAGGCTTACCAGGAATGGGCTGGATCACTCCTGCAGAGATCCTCCATGGTGCATGTCCATGGCACTGGAAATCACTTCTGCATATGCCCAGACGCCAAAAATTGGACCTGCGCAGAAGCGATTTTCAGCATCTGGGCATGCGCAGACGCGATTTCCGGCATCTGGGCATGCACAGAAGCGATTTCCGGAGCCGTGGAAGAGAGTCCCTGCGCCATGCTGCGCTGGTTGTTTTTTTTAAATGCTTTTTATTGATTTTCAAAAACAAAAATAATAATAAATAAAACATAAACTTTTACATTCAACATTTTATATCTTCTTATTTACCCTGCGCAATTTTGTGCCCAGACTTCCTTCCTTCCCTGCTTCGGTTTTCCCAATTTACCATGCTGCGCTGGTTTAATGCAGCGCGTGGGGACTCGCCGAGTGGGCAGCTCAGTTTGGAGGTGGCTCACGGGCTGGTTAAATGGCCTCCTTGGGCCGCTTCCGGCCCATGGGCTGCTGGTTGGGGACCCCTGCATTATTGTCTGTAACAGTTACTGATGCTAGTATTCATTATCCCAAATAGGAGATCCATATGGAACGGTGTGTGAATCTGACTGACATAGCTGTGGAAGCTGTTCTCACTTGTTGTCCAAGGATATACATTTTTCTGTTCCATGGATGCCCACTGATAACAGGTGATTAAAGTGCAGCTTACTAGCTAAGTTCAACAATAGATTTTGTCAACCTGTCTGAGCCTTAAGATCAGTCTCAAAGGCACTGCTCACAGACCCACCAACAGGATCCATCTCACTGGTGGGCACGAGAGACAGGGTATTTTCAGCAGTGGCCCCATATTTTCTTTTAAATGAGTTTAAAGATGTTTTTTATGTTGGTTGGTATTGTGAGTGGACTGGATTTTAAATTAGCTTTGCTCCTTGAAATGGTTTTAAAATATTGCAGTACATGTAATTGTGCATTGGTTTGCTGGTTTGATATATTCTTGCTGCTCTTTTAGCTTTTATATTTCAAATATGTTTTTCATTGCAAGCTGAAGGATAAATCTCCCTTTTCCTTCTAGTTTGAATCCATTTTGAGCAGTTAAACTCCACATTCTGTATTCACTGTCCCCTCCTAGTAGATAAAAACTAACTGTTTTAATCAGGACATGTCCTTGTACACTGAAAGAATGCAACAGATAATCACCAAGGCAATGGTGAAATGAATGCTAGGCATGGTAATTTCATTTAACCTTAGGTCAATAGGAGGGCTGATATCATAGTCAAAAGCAGATGTTGGTAGACAAGCAGTAATAGAGCAGTAAATAATAAATACATAGGTAAATGTTTCCTTACCACAATGCAACACAATTAAACTTGTTAAAATGGGAATAAGAGGCATGTTTCTATTTTTCTAACAGTCTTCAGAGACAGAATGGTACACCACTACTCCCTGCTCCATATCTTGAAACAATATGCTTATCTCTCCTGTTCCAAAAAAAAGCCTAACATTGTCCTGACTTAATCAGTCCACCTTCACAACTTAGTTAAAATTACGTTCACAGCAAATGCAATTTTAAACAGTTGCTCTTCGTATGCTTGGATGTGAGCCAAATACATTCTTGTATAACTTAGGTTTTGACAGTGTGCCTGTGTGGCTTCTGTCCAGATATGCTTGTTTATCAGAGCAATTGTTTAATTCAACTGCATCAGATACAAACAGTGCTTTTCCCCCAAGAAGTTGTTACAGTAAGCGCCACACTTTTTAACAACAAAAAGAGGTCCCAGTACTGCGTACCCTTGAGTACTCCCTGGGGAAGAAAAAGGGTACTGGATACAATGTTGCTAAAATTATTTTGCCTTGACTCTAGTACATTTTGTTCAATCAAAATTGGGTGTTTTCCACCCCAAAAAGGTGGTTTAAAACAGATGAGAATAAGAACAACAGTTTCAAAGCAACCTAAGTAAAACCTAGAAATAATAGCAAAACAACCACATTGACCTGCTCTGTTAAGATCAGCAGGGGAGGCCCCTTGGCAGTTCTGCTGCCCTATGCAGTCTGATAGGCAGTGGTGTGTGAGAGTTGCTTCTCTGGGTTGGCTCTCTGTTTGTGGAATAACCTGCCCTCCTTCTGCTGCATTGCTGTTCTGTGCTGCTGTTTTGTTAGTTTGGTCATTTTATTTTATGTTTTTAATACAGTGTGCTGTTTTTGTAACTCAGTATGGGACCATTCAGTGAAGGGTAAAATAGGTAAAAACAATGAATGAATGTCTGCAGAAAACACTGGAATATAAACATTTATGCAGCAAATAGTAAAAGGTAAAGGTACCCCTGCCCGTACGGGCCAGTCTTGACAGACTCTAGGGTTGTGCGCCCATCTCACTCAAGAGGCCGGGGGCCAGCGCTGTCCGGAGACACTTCCGGGTCACATGGCCAGCGTGACAAAGCTGCATCTGGTGAGCCAGCGCAGCACACGGAAACGCCGTTTACCTTCCCGCCAGTAAGCGGTCCCTATTTATCTACTTGCACCCGGGGGTGCTTTCGAACTGCTAGGTTGGCAGGCGCTGGGACCGAGCAACGGGAGCGCACCCCGCTGCGGGGATTCGAACCGCCGACCTTTCGATCGGCAAGTCCTAGGCGCTGAGGCTTTTACCCACAGTGCCACCCGCGTCCCTTATGCAGCAAATAGCAGCATCAATTTACTGATCTGGAGGCCCATTTCTTGTAGAAAGATCTATGAAACTCATTCATTCTTCCCCCTAAATTATTCGTTTGCATTACCCTTCCTACCTAGCATTTTCTTACCCTAGAGAAAATTGAATTGTCCAATGTATTTTCTCATCCTTGTTTCCTTGTTTTGCAGATCGTTCTCGAGAAGCCCTGGAACAGCTGGTTGGACCAAATAAGTTTAAGCAGGTTTCATGGACTGTTTATTGATTTTTCTTTAGTTGTTGATGGCATCTCTTTTTCAAGAAATAACCATTCCTGGAACGGCATGTCTCTGGTGTTGTAGAGTGTACTGTCTCCCACTGACATGCTTCGTTTGTGTTTCAACTGCCAAAGGTAGTGGCACTAATGTCGTGTTGGTTTTCTTGATTAACGAGAATGTTTCTCTTTTTTCCACTCCACATGATGGATTACGAATAGGAAGTTGTTAGTGTTCATGTAAGAGCAACAGGTCAGAACTGTAATTCAGGAATCATTATGTTCAAATGTTAAGTTCTGTGGCAGTGAAGAACTAACAGGAAAATGTGATGTGGCAGGTGGTGAGCCAGCAAGACATGACAGCCACTTTTGCATCTAAGCATTTTGTAAGGTCACTTGCGCAGCCATCACTTTGGGGAGGGTCAGTTATGTTTCAAGGTAGCCATTATAATTGGAGACATGAGGTTTAGTTTCCTGCATGCTGGTTCTTGTTTTGAAATAAATGCTCCTACCATCTTCAAGTTGTGAATGTATTTTATTTCATTCCAAAGAATTAATGCATGTGTTTATAGTACTCATTACTTCTGTTTTTGGGTGAAAAGGTTAACATATGGCTTTGTTCTAATATCTCCTAGCCAGGATACCACTTTCTGGCCCAGTGAGGAACGTAGTAGTGAAAACTAGAAGGTATACTGCTATCTAGTCTAGGAATTTGGATTTCTTCCTTAACCCTGTATAAGAGTTGTTTGATCATGTACAGCCCATGCATTGCCAGGGAAAAATGAGTATTCAAACGAAAGGTTTCAATAGGATTTGAGTGTCTTGTCCATCTGCAGCATAGTATACTATAGAACATTAAAAACCTCTGTTTTTATCTCATTTTGTATCATTTTATATTATATACCTGTATAACATTAAATATTACATAGAAATATCTATGGTTGTTAATAACAGGCTCATTAAAGTTACTAATACGGTATATCTGCCCCACTGCATTCTTGCTTCAAGGCTGCTAGCGGTGACTTTCATGACCAAGGGATAATACAAACTTAAAATATTCAGAGAACACTTCTACTAGTTGTGCTGGATAATCAAAGGAATAAATTAACATGTTCAGGGCAGAATATCTGAATGAAGAAAGGTTTTGTGTTTCTATTTAGTGTGCTCTGAGCTGCTTCTTTTGCAGAAAACAGTTTTGATTAGAGCCTGATTAAAGCACAAAGGTCAGATCTGTGTTAACAGCTTTAATTGACTCAACAATACAATGTTTTCAGCCTTAGTGAAAACCACAGAGCTTTAATTCATCTACCCACACCTGCTGTCTTTTATTTAATCTAATTTTCATTGTGGCTGTTAACAACACAGTATGAATATTTTTGAACTTAAAAACTGCTTACTAATAGCAATAGAATGTATTTAAGGGAATGCAACTGCATAACAAGGTTGACTTAAGTAATTACTCTTATAAATTTATTTTGAATTGTAGACCGACTCTGTACATGTTTAATCGGACTTGCTCTCTAGTAGGTGTACTTAGGACTGAGGAGGGGTTGTACCTCTGGTGGGGGACACATCATGCTCCTTTTGTCCACCTTTGGTCCCCACCCTGCACTCAGCTCTCACCTGTGGCTCCTAGAAGCTGTCCGCATGCAACAGTGGCCGTACTCTGAGAATGGCTTTGACCGGCCAGCTAAACCAGGTGAGGGTATTACATTTTATGTTTTCCACTTGTACGTGATCAGCATGAGCACTTCTGCTGACAAGTGCACCATTTTCGGCTCCAAAAAGGGATGGGGGAATCCTCTCTCACGTGCATTCCAGTAATGTGTGTGGCGACTGCAACAGTACCTCTGCTTAAGTGGGGACCCCCTTGTATGTTCTTACACTTGAAATGACTGCTGTTCTGTTCAAAGCCTATATACCAGAGGCTGGATTCCCCCCGCCCCCCCAAAAAATAGAATTAGCAGAAGAGCCCCTAGACAGCATCCTGTTCCCCATAATGTTCAGCCAGATGTATCTGGGAAACCCCCATCTGTTGGTTGCTTCCTTCCTTCCCTCCCTCCCAAACTGGCTTTCAGAGATATGCTGTCTCTGAATCTGGAGGTCCCATTTAGCTATATTATTAATAAAAGCACCTAGCATTTTTTAAATGACTTGGACAGCTGGTTGCAAACTGGACTTATACTACCCAAAGATGGGACTTTATTCTCTGACGAAACACTCCAAGTACTAAGTAAAACTACCCAATTTGACTTCTTTTTGCTTTTTTACCTAGCATGCCACCTAAAATTAACATCTAGCTTTGTTACTATAAAAGCTACCTACTTTCCCTTGATTCCTTGTTTTCTGTCTACGAAGGAACCTGTGTGTTTCACTTAAGGAGCGAGACAGATCTAGGTAACAGGTTGATTTTATATTTTCAAAAATTGGGAAGGGAAAATGCTAACCTTTATACATTTTTCCATCTCAGCTGCCCTAAGTGCAACTTTAACCTGCATAGCACATAGTGGGAGTCTTGTTTGAATGTCTGATATATCATGCCACATTCTTTCTTGAGATTGTGAGAAGATATACATCCTTGTGGCTTTGACAGCAACCAACTCTATCCCACACCCCCTCCTCTGATAAAACATCCTGTAGACGTCTGCATGCTATTTTATGGCAGTTTGGTTGTCCTGGTTATTGCCCTGATGTAGATTTTACATTTTTTATGAGATGATTTTTATTCAGAATAACATGAAATAATGGATATTGAAAATACAGGCATTATGTGTATTAGGCAGTTAATAATAGCATGTTAAGTTAAATTACCAAAGCCAAAAAGATATATGAGTTACAGTGGTACCTTGGGTTACATATGCTTCAGGTTACATACGCTTCAGCTTACAGACTCTGCTAACCCAGAAATAGTACCTCGGGTTAAGAACTTTGCTTCAGGATGAGAACAGAAATCGTGCTCCTGTGGTGCGGCAGCAGCAGGAGGCCCCATTAGCTAAAGTGGTGCTTCAGGTTAAGAAAAGTTTCAGGTAAAGAACGGACCTCTGGAACAAATTAAGTACGTGACCAGAGGTACCACTGTATAGTGGGTCTGGGTTCCTCTGGGTGACAGTTAATAAAAGAAATAGATGTAAACCAATCAGCATCGAAAGTATCCTTTTGTTTCTCCATGCATCACTCAGCAGTGTTGTGTAAATTTAGCAGTCACTGCCAAATACCATATGTGTAAGGTCATCTTGGTTGTCATTATAACCCTGAAACTAACTGCTACTTGCTGCAGAGCCATCCCACATATGCTTACCTGCTTGCTTTGGGAGCTTGGCTGCTGGCCTAGGGAGTTGGGAGTTATTCGTGCAACCTAGTAGATGCCTCCCATTCATTCCTCCATCTGACAGATGGGTGGATGGGAGGTTCAGTCTGCAAGTTTATTATTCTAGCCAAAGTCCATGGCAGACTTGTAGCAATAGTATTAATAGAATAATAAAGAACGTATGTCCATAACATAAGCCAACATCCATGATGAAAGAGTTACCAGAGACACCTACAAACTCAAATTCAACTTGGATTTCAAGATTAAAGCTCCAAATCACAACAATTTATAGTGATTTTATCGGACTCATTTTTCCTGATTTTTTTCTCTCCAGCTAATGTGTAGGAGGTCACTCTGTGTTACTAAGCTATTACTGACACTCAAAAGAAACCGAATCATTTCTGTCGGGGCCTACCTGCTTGCTTGTAAGAACAAAGGTTTCAGAAAGTGACCTCTATATAAGGGGCAACTAGAAGATAATGAGTGATGTCTTCCACAAATACAAAATTTGACTGAGAATGGGACCTTGTGCAGTGTCCATCCAAGACTGAATCAGGACACATCAAAGAAGCGTTTCAGTTACACAAGTTGTAAATTTAAACAGAGAAAACAGGTAGAGAAAAACAGGACTCCATAGTGCTGTCTGGTGGCACAATGTTATATCACATATACAACACATATAAATTGCTTTTTCTTTACAAATCTAGCCGAGTCCCAAGACTGCAGAGGGCATCACTTGGAACTGCTGTTCAATTAAGGCATTTCTTAAACAAACTGATGAGAGTTTTGTCTGATAACTTTCTGTTGTTCCATTACTGATAACCCTCTGGTCCATTACTCCTATTCCTGCCACTGGGTTTTCATATATTCAGCTTTCCTGTTTTCAGGCAGACTCTTGTATTTCAATCTACATTTGATCAAATTTTCTATGGATTCTTCTTACAGATTTGTACACAGATCCTGAATTGCCCTAGCCCAGGCTTCCTCAACCTCGGCCCTCCAGATGTTTTGAGACTACAATTCCCATCATCCCTGACCACTGGTCCTGCTAGCTAGGGATCATGGGAGTTGTAGACCAAAAACATCTGGAGGGCTGAGGTTGAGGAAGCCTGCCCTAGCTGGAACTTGTATTAGCTGCCTTGCACTCACTGTCAAACCAGCCAAGGTGTGTTGATTGTGTGTATTTATTAATTGTAGAAGTTATCAAATAGGGCCCGAGTTCTGAGACAATTTGCTGGAAGACATGAACAAGATTTGGAGATTTGCTCATAAAATGTTGATGCAAGTTTGTCACGTGATGACTAAATAGTGCCTCTTGGATATTGCTGCCCAATCTGAGAGACCATTCCAGTCTTTTCATGCCTTATAATTCTCCACACACTGTTGCAGATTTGGTTGTTGATATGCATTCTGTTAAAGAACATTGGGTCACTGATATTGGAAACTGGTCACTATCTGCTCGTTCCAACGCTTCAAAAGTGTTCACAAAAGTGAATACTGAAAGAGTGACTACAATGTGGCTGACAGCACTTCCAGCATGTTTGTTAAAATAAGTATATTGACGCTTAGATAGTCTACAGTGTAGGAAATGGATTGAGGATTAAATCTGGAGATTAAAATTTAAACCTCCTGCCCCATGTATGCGGAAACTGTCCCGAGTTGTAACAGCAAGAATCTCTGTATTGTGTTGTAAGTCTTTCTATAATAAAGCTTTACAACTGATCATTTGGAATTCCTGCAACTGGGTCTTTCGAGGTCTCAGTAAACCACTCACCCAAGATCTGCATTTAGGCCTGTGGGACACAACACATACCACTTGCAGATTGCAGATAGTACATCTGTTTGCAGTTTCCAATGTAACCAAAGCTCCATGTGAGCTGCCACAAAGAGGTGGTTTATCAAATTTTTACAAGGGAGATAGGATTTTGCATTTTTAATTAACATCAGCAACTACTGATACACCCATCCTCTGCAAGCAAAAGACTTCATTGAAAACAGTTTTTTTCTTTATGTTTCTAAAGAATAAAACTCAGCCACATACTGGCATGCAAACATAATTTCCATTGAATAAAGTGGGAATTATAAGGCAAAGTGCTTTCTTTTATTACGCCTGTCCCAGTCTGCACAAATGCCACCTTCAGCTGGTACAAACCATGCTGTGTCATTAAAATATATAGAATGTATGCATGCTGATAGAATGCATATAGGCAGTATAGTATGTATTGGCACCAGTCAGAATTTGAACTGCCACAAAATGGGGCTTTTAGTGGTTCAAGTGACATGCCATTTAGTCCAGTATTTCTGCACTTGAGGTCCATGGAGAGTCAAGGCTGGTAGTGCCAAACCACAGTACTGGTGGACCCATTGTTCTCCTGCTGCGTTGATTTGGTGAGGTCATACTCACTGACTTTGAGAAGCTGCTTCTGAATTTTGTGGCACACAAAATAGGGCCTGCCGGGGTCTCCAATTAACACTTTAGTCCTATGAGTCTGGATGTGGTTTTTCAGCCATTGATGAAGGCTGTCTGCAAGAGCTTCACTGTAAAACATGTCCCCTAGGATAATAAGATCCCAGTTGTCTACTTCTGTACCAATGAGGTTCTCTGTGAGAACACGGAAAGGATTCAGGTTGTTCAGTTCACAGTTCAGCAGCATGGCAGCTCCTGCAACTGAGAAATAAGGAAACAAACAAGAAAAGATCAGTGCCCAAATTTTTGAGTTGGTAGTGCCACCTGGACTGGTCAACTTTCTAGTCTTTTGGATGCTTGGTTGGGCAATACTTTCCTTGCCAGAATTGTTTTTAACAAGCTATCTTATAGTCTCTGTGGGCAGAGTATTGCTAGGGACACAATTCATGGGCTGATCACATTCAAGTCCCTGGTGCCTCCCTTACATTTTGTACTCTGTCTGGGAATGATGGGAGTTGTAGTCCAAAACATCTGGAGGGTACCAGTCGCATCATTTACATAACTGAGTGTATTGACTGACCCAACCCTACACCAAAGTCGGCATGGACCGCTTATGCAGGGAGGCCTTTCTCCATTAGACCAGAGTTCATGCCACTGAGAACAGTAACATCTACATCCCTGACTCTGGGTAAGACCCTCATCCATTAGCTAGCTTGATCACCAATATAGAGTGGCTTCAGCTTGTGTGGGATAGTTGATAATAGACGGTTAGGTGTTAGGATACATGTTTAAGTTCTAGACCTATACTAATGTGTGCGCTCTATTACTTGAGGGAATATGTGAGAAGAAATAGCATCCACTGCATCTGCAGCATCTGGGTGGCTCGGCACTAACTGCTGGACAGGAATCAAAGGACTAGGAACTGTGTGGGTGGAATTGGAATGCCAGATGTTTCATTAGCTATGGGATAAGAATGTGGTATGTGAAAGAGGAAGGGGTCCCCAACAGAGAGCAGAAGTAGTGTTTTGCACAGTAAACAATTTAAGTATGTGTTCTGTGTAGGATTGCAATATGATATATTGCAATTATGATGCATTTTCATATATTTCAATTTTTTGCATATGATTTGTTTTTGTGCTTCTTAGTTGTTTTAAGCACAATGTTTTGAGAATTCTCTTTAATTATGTTATTTTAAATGTGGAATAATGATGACTATGATGACGATTAGCCATAGTAGTATTGTTTGGTTTCAATTGTGAAATTTGTGTTGTATTTCTTATATTGGTTCCTTATATTGGATCCTAAACTGGGTACAGGCTGGTTATTCACTCTGTAAGGCAGGTTTAATGGTTAATGGCCCCAAGTCGGGGCTGATGGTTGGGGGAAAGTTCAAATCTCTTTAGTGTTTTGAATGGACCAAAACAGCTGCCTTTCGTTGTCCTTTGAATATGGTCTGGTAAGTATCTTATCTAGTTGTTCAGGGTGGAATCTACAACCCATTGAAGATCATTTTCTACTTCCTGAAGTGTGTTCATATTGAGGGCTCTATGCCCTCCAACCACTAGATAACACTATGAGATTTGGCTTCAATTGTGGCTCAGGCCCAAACCAATCTCTGACTTTGCTCATATAAAAAGACTACTATGTTTCTCTTTACATTTGCTTTCTGCCTTGCAAGAACACTGTGTGTTTTGCTTTTTCCACACTGGTTTTCTCCCCCCACCAAAGTTGGCAAGCTTAGCATGAGTGAGTCATGTGACTTCTCTAAATCTAGGGCAACATTTTCCAGTGAGTAAAGGAAAAGAAGTGAAGACAAAGTAAATAACTTGCCAGATGTTGTGGTGGTTAGAACCAGTCAGTTTGTGGTTGGAACAAATAGTGAAAAACAAGCACATTTCCTGATCTAGGAGGTACAGAAACACAAAAACACGTGCACTCTGGTTTCTGTCACGGTGTTCCGTTGTGCCAGAAGCGGTTTAGTCATGCTGGTCACATGACCCGGAAAGCTGTCTGTGGACAAACGCTGGCTCCCTCGCCTCGGCTTGAAAGCAAGATGAGCATCGCAACCCCATAGTCGCTTTTGACTGGACATCCGGGGGGGGCGGGTCTTACCTTTTTTACCTTTTATCTTGAGGAGTTATAAAAGAATGCCAGCTACTTTGGGAAAGTCAGCCAAAATGAAGACATATGTCAGTGTAGGGTTCTTTATCCTTCAGACAGACAAGGGGAAACTGCTCATCCTGGATGTCTTTAAGAGAGGGTGAATTAACACCTGTTCTACACCATTTCTCTTCTGCAAAACGGTTATCTCATTTTAACAAAGCTGGAAGATCAACACCGCTGTGTTGACTGTTTCACTATCAAGTAGCCCTGCCTCCATATCAATGGCTATGGGACATGCTCAGTTCTTTCAAAGGCTTCTTTGTCTATCATGTTACCTTGGAACATGCTGGAGCCACATATGGTTCTCCCTTCTTCCCAATGCACTGAGACTGACTGCACTGCACGTGCAATGGAGCATCTTACCAGGATCAATGTCGTTGGCAACAACGTGCGATGCTCCGCTCATCATGGCTGCTATGGCTGTTGCTCCACAACCGCTTCCAAGATCGAGGACTCTCTTCTCTCTGACAACCTCGGGGTTATCAAGAAGGTATCTGAGTATATTTTGAAAAACAAGAACAGTAAAAAAAAAACATTCGTAGCAAAGTCTATTGCAATAGCCTAGCACTGAATATGAATTAGCTAGTGGTATAAGGAATGCATACGTCGCAAATCAAGCAGAAGATGGATGTAAGGAAAAGGGAATTGAGAAATGCAGAAGGTGCGATGTTGGAATGAAATCACGACAGACGAGTAGCAGGTGTCATGTGAGAGGCGTCTGCCGGGGCAAGCCCCGGGAACTCTCTTTTATTGAATATTACAAACATTGCCACAGGTGTGCTTGTGGCTGATTGGTTGATACAAACACAAAGCAACTTGTTGCTGATTGGTTAACATAAGTACAAGGCGGGAATTGCATATAAACATTAATCACCAATAGATTAAAGGCTGGGAAACGGAGCTGGAACTAGACAGGCATGAAACCTCCTAATTAAATTATAACTAAAGATTGATATAGCATAACTAAAACAATTACTAATGATTGATCATAACATGAAAGAATATAATAATCGAGTTCTGTAGATGTGGTCAGCTATGCATTAAGAACAGGTCATCATGAACTTAAGATGAACTGAGCAATGAGGGAATGTCTTGGTATTTCGAACAGGTTTGTACAGTGTGTGCAGAAGAAGAGAAAAGCTTATAAGCGAGACTTCCCAGAATGCCAGAGAAAAGAAGCAAGACTTCCCATAATGCCACAGTTATGTGCAGAAGCAGAATTTCCCTTCAGAAAACAACTAAGAACACAATTAAAGAGCCGTGGAAGACATGAAACATTTATAGAAAGCTAACTGTCTGAATAGATAAGGCAATTCTGCAGACTAACTCAAAGACTAACATACAGCTAATGATGTTTTAGGAGTTGTTTACTTCAAAGGCTATGTGTTATATGTGTTTGGGGTCTGCCTCTGCGACCAATAGGTGCAAGGCACACCCTTCCTGTTCAGGAATAAAGAGTTTCTTAGCTGATTCTTGTCTGTTTGATTGACCTCCCACTTAAAGGTAAAGGTACCCCTGACCATTAAATCCAGTTGCGGCCAACTCTGTGGTTGCGGCGCTCATCTTGCTTTACTGGCCCAAGGGAGCCTGTTTTTGTCCGCAGACAGCTTCCGGGTCATGTTGCCAGCATGACTAAGCCGCTTCTGGCAAACCAAAGCAGCGCACGGAAACGCAGTTTACCTTCCCGTCAGAGCGGTACCTATTTATCTACTTGCACTTTTGGCGTGCTTTCAGACTGCTTGGTTGGCAGGAGCTGGGACCGAGCAACAGGAGCTCACTCCGTCACAGAGATTCGAACCGCCGACCTTCTGATTGGCAAGCCCTAGGCTCTGTGGTTTAGACCACAGCGCCACCCGCATTAGCAAACCCTATTTCCATAACACTAGTAAACCTAAGTCAGGGTGAACATGTGGCATGTATGCCTTCTAGGGCTGATAAGTGTTTTATACCTGGCTAGTCCTTGGCCTCCTGGCCAATAGATTGCCCAGTACGGGTCCCCATATGGCCATAAGGCAGCCTTGTCATGCCAAAATCGACAGCGAGGAGTCAGAAGTCTTAACCTTATTTCTGGTGTCAGGTTCCCACTGCTGATGACTTCTGTGTTCTTCTCCAAAAACAGTCTCATCTCTGGATCCAGGAGACTCCCTGAAGTCTTCTGGTGGTAGCACTTCCAAAGTGAACAGCTGCTTCCATCCTTTTGCTTTAGACGTGTACTGAAGATGCGTCTGCTGCATAAGCGTATCAGCCGCCTCCAGCCTATGAAAATCATGTCCTCTACTGCTCTCAGCAAGCTCCTCCCCAGCTTGAGTTCACATCAGGAATGCTTCCTTGGAGTGTCAAGACAGGGTTTGGTAAGAAAAACTCATCAGCTATAGCTTTCAGACTCAATGGGAAGTCATTCCTAAAAAAACAAAAGAACAGATATTTCCACTGTATATATGCCATTAGTTGAGTGTATCAATTAGTACTGACAGAACCCATATATTAGGGCTGTATCAGCTAAGTTATACTCAAGAGTAGACCCACCGAAATTAATGGACCAAAGTTATTCATGTCCACAGATTTCTATGGTTGCTATTATTATTACTTTCAGTATTTTGCATTAGAAGCTCTCTTTGAATTATTCTAGAAATGTATAACTCTGCCTTATATTAAGACTATTGTCCAGCCAGTCTTGCTTATTCTGGCTGGTGGCAGCTCATGGGAGATCCTTTTAACAGGCGATGCCAAAGACTGGATCTTGGATATATTATGTATGCAACCCATGTGCTCTACCACTGAGCTTCTTCCTTATTCTGCAATAGTTTGTATGCCCTATACAATAAATACTTGGCTCGCTCCTTCCAACTATTATATTTCCATTTCTCCAGTCACATGTCACCCCTTCTCAGTTTTATACCTCTATAAATAACCATAACTTCCACCTATCTTGGGCCCTTTCTGCACTATATGTTTACAGCAGTATCACACCACTTTCAAGTCATGGCTTCCCCATCGGAAGAGCAGTTTGTTAAGGGTGCTGAGAATTGTTGCGAGAACCGTTTCACTCACAGAGCTACAATTCCCAGAGTTCCCTGGCAAGAGGTATTGGCTGTTAAGCCATTCTGAGAACTGCAGCTCTGTGGAAAACATGGGTCTCCTAACAACTCTCAACACCCTTAACAAACTACAGTTCCCAGGATCCTTTCTAGTGTAGGGGTCCGAGAGGCCCTCTTGGCACAAGATTGCTTCTCAGTCATACTGTGCTTGCAAGCAACATGGGCTATTTAGCTGACAGCTGCTCTTAGAGGAAATTACACTGTTAACCTGACAGACTTTGGGGGTGGAAACTTCCTGTTGTTGTCTGAAAAAGAGAGTTCAGAAGTGAGGGGGTAGAAACAGAGACCACATAACCTGCTTAAAGAGCAACTGATTCCACAGGACTCATGGGAGACCAATCGCAAGGTCTTCCTTTGATATCCTTGTTTAAGATGGGATGTGTTTATTTTATTACATGTACATCCTGCCCCTTTTTCTCCATGAAGCCACAGAAAACATACTCACAACCCCACACACCCCATTCAGGCAATGCCCAGCTCCAGTTGCTTCAGCAAAAGAGTGGCTTCATATGTCTTTTTAAGACCATATCCTAGAACCAGAGCTTTAAGGGCTCCCAACTGCAGCTCTCCCTGTTGTTGGGCGGGCAGAAATTCAACAGCTGCACCTTCCTTTAACATACTCCATGAGAGCTTATGCAGTTAATAACTTTGTTCGTTGTTAATGTGCTACAGGAGTCTTTGTCGTTTTTGGTAGGAACAGACTAAGGGTAAACACATTTACTACTGAGCAAACTCCATTGAACATAGTGAGGCTTGCTTCTGAGCAAACATGCATAGCATCGTCTCATAATTCGGCAATATCTCTGGAAACTGTGTTAGGAGAAGTCTAATTACATTTAATTTTGAACGAACTGCATTTTTGTTTCGTCGTATCATGAATTCTTTCAGCAGTTTTTTCCGCGAAAATGCGGTCTTTACGTTACAATCTACTCTAGAATGTCAAACGTGAACACCAGGGGGATATCACATATGCTACTATCAAGAAGCTTTCGTTTGTTTTGTTAACTCCTGGCTTAAGAAAATGGCTTCTGCTTATATATAGATGCTTTACAACCTGATAGCAGAGAAACCTAGGGCTGTAGCCAACTTTAAGCTACTCAGAGTAGACCCATTGAAATTTATGTACAGTACATGAAAACTTAGGTCCACTCATTTGTAGGGGTCTAACGCAAGAAACAACCAACCCGTTCATTCCACTGGGAAGCAGGTGATCGCTCCCAATGATTATTTTCCCCTCTGACAATCCCAGTAGGAAATAAGGTATCCACGACGAAGCACTGAGAGAGAAACGGGGGGCCGCTTAAGAGTGGCCTTTGTTTGCAAAATCTCTCGCGATCAACAACAATTTGCACTCACAGAAACAAAGCGGCCCCTCGCTTTTGCTAAAGCCTTTCCCTATTGCACCCGCAGCTACGGTAACCTGCGCCTTGGCCAGAGGAATCGAAGAAGAGGAAAACGTGATAATAACAATCCTCATTTCCGGATTCCATTTGAACACCCTCACCCGCGGGGTGGAGCACAGCGGGCATCCCGGAACCGCTCCGTCACCGAAACCTCTATGGTGCCTCGTCCTATTCCTTTACCCGCATGGGCTGCCCCTCGCGTTCGATTAACAACCGGAAGTGTTATTGCTTTGTTTAGCTGCTGCATCAGGAACGTGGAACATTCTGGACTACAACTCCCATCAAGCCTCATCTGTGGCCGTGGTGGTAGGGGCTGATGGGAGTTGGAGTCCAATAACGCCTTAAGAGAGCCGCCGCTTCAATTTCCCTGTGTTAACAGCTTCTGAGAACGCTTTCAGATTGTGTCTGTCGTTCCTCCTGCGTTTGTGAGCCAAGCCTTTTCTGCTAGTATTTTTTTTGTTTTGCTTTTTAAACTATCCTTGCCCTGTATTTTTAACTGCAGCCTGGCATACAGAAGCTCAACAGGTGAAGCTTCTCTTGCCATGGAGATCATCTTTGCCTATTCCATCTCAGCGTCCCATTCTGCAGTTAAAGGCAGAAAAGTGGAGCCAGTGTTTAAAAAACTGACAACCCCAGTCTTTCCTTCTCTCCTCTTCTCTTTCTGTAATAGTTCAACAATGCAAATACAATGCAAATATTACAAAGGATTCTTTGTGCTACACCAGTATGGTGTAATCCAGAGTGGGGGAACTTTTTCAGTTCAAAGGTTGCATTCTCTTCTGGACCATTTTATGGGGGACACATGCTAGTGCTGACAAAAATGGACACAGCGACAAATGGAAATGATATCTTTGTAGAGTGGGCTGGCTAGTTTGTACACACATACATACCTTTCTGTCACCACCCAGGCAACCCAGAGGCACATCAGAGCCCAAGGACACTTCTAGGTAGACAAAAACACCCAAGAAGACTGTCAAACAAGGTTTGTGAGGGGTGCAGCCTGGGCAGAGTCCCAAGGGCCAGAGATAAAGGCTTGGAGGGCCACATTTAACCTCTGACATGAGGTTTCCCACAGCTGTAATTAGTGGATAAGCAAGCTGTACTAGAACCAGGATGACATGGGTTCAAGTCCCCACCTTGGGCCAGTCACTATTCCTCAGTCAAACCTACCTTGCAGGTTGATTGCGCATAGAAAGATAGGGAGGGAAAAGAACCTTATGCTCCTTGGGGAAAGGGTGGAATAAAAATGAAATAATAAAGTCAAATGCAGCACAATTTGACAAGCACTAGGCTTGGTAGGGTCAAAAATTGTTTTTGCAAATGCTTTTGGTTTGTGTATTGAAGGCATTTATACACAGCTCTTAAGTTTAAAAAAGGGGTCCCATAGCAGTTTACATAAAGACATGACACACAAGGAAAAAGGAATGGAAGGGAGGAGGGGAAATAAGCTCAAAGGCAAATTCTTAAATGGACTGCTATATACAATGCTCTTTCCCCCCCCCCCCGGGGGGGGTACTCAAGGGTACATAGTACTGGCACCTCTTTTTGTGTGTGTGTAGCTAAAAAGTGTGACACACACTGTAACAACTTAATGGTGAGTACTGGTACCTATTTTTCTATTTAAAAAAAGCACTGGATATATAATTCTGTCTGTGCGGACTCTGGCTGTCTAGAAGAGTAGCAACTCCTCACCAACTCAATGAGTGGAAAGGTTCAAGTCTTTATTGCTATAGCAATAGTGGCTCAGTATTCATTTCTCTCCAAAAAGACTGAGCAGACAACACTCAAAACAGAGCATGCCCATTTCCTCCCACCCCTCCCTAACATACATAGTCAATTTTTTAGTATATAGCCAAAGACTTTTACAATTGTTATAAAAATTCTAAGCTCTCAAATATAAAATAAATGTTCATAAATGTACAAGGCCAACGCATACAGAAGTATATAAACCACGTCTTAAATAGTACAGGAGAACAATCCTGAAGCCATTTTGACTCTCCCAAATTGACCTCAAATATTTCACTGCAAGGAGGAAGGAAATGGGAAAAGCTTTCCAATTGTCTTTTGACTGTAGGGGCTTATACCTCTATTTTCAAATACAGTCTGGCAAGTATCTGTTAAGCTGAGCACACTATCAATATGCGTAAAAGATTCAGGAACTAAGTATTTACCATCTTGAAGGAATGGTCAGGCTTCCCAGAAAATGCAATCAAGTAAGGCATTATCAGGTATCCTGGCAGACAGGAGAGAAGCAACACACTCAAATTTCTGCTGGAGACCACCTCCTCCTGTGATATAGGTATAATGTTTTGGGGGGTGGTTTTGTGGTAGTGGGTGTCAGGTAAAGGTAATAGACCCAGCATGCCCCCCTATATACTTGTAATATTAAAGCGCAAGCAGCTTTCATCTCCCACATGTAATGCTAAAGATACGAACATCCGGTTGACAAGATTATCTACAAATATACCACAGACAAGGCTCCTGCAAGCATGAGGTCAAAAGTGTAAAAGTGAGAAAGTGCATGCATAGCATTTTAAAGCAGACACATTTTCTGCTAAGGAGTTTCCAGTTGCCAATGGGCCATTGTCAACGTCTACAATACTGTATTAGCAAAGAGCAGTATTAAGGCTATGGGATGCAGAGGCGCAGTAAATAAGCTGAAGAAGATCAGTCTACATCCCAATCCCAAAGAAGGGCAGTGCCAAAGAATGCTCCAACTACCGCACAATTGCACTCATTTCACACGCTAGCAAGGTTATGCTTAAAATTCTACAAGGAAGGCTCAAGCAGTATGTGGATCGAGAACTCCCAGAAGTGCAAGCTGGATTTAGAAGAGGCAGAGGAACCAGAGACCAAATTGCAAACATGCGCTGGATTATGGAGAAAGCTAGAGAGTTCCAGAAAGACATCTACTTCTGCTTCATTGACTATGCAAAAGCCTTTGACTGTGTCGACCACAGCAAACTATGGCAAGTTCTTAAAGAAATGGGAGTGCCTGATCACCTCATCTGTCTCCTGAGAAATCTCTATGTGGGACAAGAAGCTGAGGCATCAGATCAAGATCTGTATATTTAAAAAATATATTTGCAAATGTTTGTATCTCTCATGCCAGGCAGAAGACCAGCTGGCTAAAAAAAAAAGACTTTGGCAGATGTTTATCTTCCTGTTCAAGGGCCCCACTGATTCAGGGTTGTAAAAGGAAATTACAGGCTAGGAGCAAAAGGTCACACTGACCATACAAATTACAGAATAATCAAGTTGCAAAACACAATTAAGTTGGTAAATAGTAAGAATTATTGTGCCTCCCATTAGAGACTTGAGCCACATTTTCATAAGGTTAAAAGGGCAAATAGAAACAGCAGCTGAACTAGGAAAAGCAGCTCTCTGAAACTGCTTTGAAGCTTTAGAGAATTTAGAGAGAATTTAGCTTAGCTTTTACTAAGTTCCTTTCCTTCTAAAAAGCTATATATGTTAATGTATGAAATATATTGGCTTAAATGTAATTATGCAAAGGATTTAGAAAGTAAGAAATTTAGATTCTTATGTTAGATTCTTATTTCATAGAATCATAGAATCATATAGTTGGAAGAGACCACAGGGGCCATCGAGCCCAGCCCCCTGCCAGGCAGGAAACACCATCAGAGCACTCCTGACATATGGCTCCAAAGAAGGCGATCTTTCATAGCTGGTGTGTGAGAAAGTGAACCCAAGATCTCTGTTTAAGATAAAATTAGAACCATTAGCCATCTGTTTTGCAGGGAATAGGGCAAGAGGGGCAAAGGTGATCTGGTAATTAAGGTGCCTTGTAGAGGTTAATGGCTACTTGTTTGCCAATTATAAATAGAAGGAAATATAGCTCTTTGTCTCCCATAAAAGGTAATAGGAAATGGGTGTATCTTTTATGATTGGTTCTAGCAAACAGCCAATAGGAATTTCAACCAGGCTGATTGGACAGAGGCAGCCAAAGGAGGAGCAAGGGGGCTGGGCTGAGGGAATATAAGTGCTGGCCATAATGGCAGGAGCCCAGGCCAGAGCTTGGTAACCACATACCACTGTGCCTCTTATTTATTTGTCTGACAAATAAATTATTATTTAATTTCTCTATTGCTGCGTTGAATATTTCATTCCAGCTAAGCGTTAACCACAAGCAGGGTGCTACAAAGCTACAGTTAGAACTGGATATGGAACAACTGATTGGTTCAAAATTGGGAAAGGAGTACGACAAGGCTGTTTTTTCTCTCCCTGCTTATTTAATTTATATGCAGAATACATCATGCGAAAGGCTGGGCTGGATGAATCCCAAACTGGAATTAAGATTGCCGGAAGAAATATCAACAACCTCAGATATGCAGATGACACAACCTTGATGGCAGAAAGTGAGGAGGAATTAAAGAACCTTTTAATGAGGATGAAAGAGGAGAGCGCAAAATATGGTCTGAAGCTCAACATCAAAAAAACAAAGATCATGGCCACTGGTCCCATCACCTCCTGGCAAAAAGAAGGGGGGGAAAAATTGAGGCAGTGAGAGATTTTACTTTCTTGGGCTCCATGATCACTGCAGATGGTGACAGCAGCCACAAAATTAAAAGACGCCTGCTTCTTGGGAGAAGGGCAATGACAGGCCTAGACAGCATCTTGAGAAGTAGAGACGTCACCTTGCCAACAAAGGTCCATATAGTTAAAGCCATGGTTTTCCCAGTAGTGATGTATGGAAGTGAGAGCTGGACCATAAAGAAGGCTGATCGCTGAAGAATTGATGCTTTTGAATTATGGTGCTGGAGAAGACTCTTGAGAGTCCCATGGACTGCAAGAAGATCAAACCGATCCATTCTTAAGGAAATCAGCCCTGAGTGCTCACTGGAGGGACAGATCGTGAAGCTGAGGCTCCAGTACTTTGGCCACCTCATGAGAAGAGAAGACTCCCTGGAGAAGACACTGATG